TATATATATATATATATATATATATATATATATATATATATATATATATATATATATATATATATATATATATATATATATATATATATATAGGAGTGCAATAATTTCATTAATTGCACTCTCCGGGAGTGGATAGATATAGATAAACAAGGAAATCTACCACGAATCGAAGTAAAATATAATTATCAATGATTATTTAAATTTTCGATTGCATGCCACAACCTTCGTTCGATTTCCTTGTTTTTATATATTAATGTCGCGTCTATATAGCAAGCAGATCTTTGATTATTTACCGGCTGCGAGGTCCGGGTGACAAAAACTGTGCCCGAGGTCTTGGGACGTTTTTAAGACCGATCGATGGCACAGTTTTTCTCATTCGCACCGAAACTGTCAGTAAATAACGTGTTTATTTTTAGCAGATGTAAAATTTAATTCATTAAAATTCCAGTGTTGCATGCGAACTAATTTGAGATCAGTGCTGCTGTGTATTGAAGCGAGGCTGACAAAAATTGAGAAGTTGAAACTCGAAAAATCTGGCAAGAAACACACAAAAATATAATTTAAGTAAAAATGCTATCGTCGTTTCGACGATAATATGCTTGAAAAATGTGTTTTTAAAACAGACTTTAGTTTTTTTTTCAATATTTAGAATATAAGTGAAAAGTGCATATATAAGTACACAAATTGTCAGAGATTTATTCGTGACTTGTTTTCACTGCAGTTTAAACCTTTTAAGATTGCATATATGAGGCAAAACAATTCTTTTACAATATCTGTTTAATAAGCTATATAATTTTGACCTTTTAAGTGGCCGAATACATCAGCATTTAAAACAAAAATATAGCTTTCTCGGCGAAAGTTTTACATAAATCAAATAACTTTCAGTCGCATTTCTCTCGAAATGTTGTCAATTCTGATTTTAGGGCTTGATGAAATTCATTTTCGTATATTCCGACTGTCTTTATATAGGCTATGTTTTTCAAACTTCTTGGGCAAATCGTTTCACTCCATGGTCTTTGGCGCGAAAACCAGAGCGGGCAGTTGCATTTCACAGCGTGCAGTTTCAGAGCGGGCCGGATGCAGTCTCGGGTCCACAAAACACACTGTTTCCCTCGGTCTCAGTAAATAAGTGATAATTATATTATCATCAAGAAAACATTTATTTAGAAATAATTCATAAAATACACCGCTTTGATTGGAATTTTAGCAACAAAATGAGGAAATAAACTGTAAAAAATCTGTTTTTGAGGCCAGATATACTTCCTTGCATTTTGCTCGCTGTGAATCTGTCAACCAGTGTCAAAGAATGCATGCTTACTGCATGAGCACTTGGAGATTGCCCAGGCCGCAGAGAATAAATTTTATCATATGCAATGGGATAATTACGCATTCAGACTCAGATTACTCTTTTCTGGCTTTCTCATCCAATTTTTATCCAAATTTAACTAAAATATACTCAATTTGTTCTGGGGCAATGTCCATTTTTCGTTTAACATGTTTTAAGTTATCATGCTGCCTTGTAGATCTAGACAAACACACATACAGACAGACAAACATACAAGCGCGGATAAAAACATATATCCTCGTTACGGAGTGTGTATACGATCGACGTTATTTACGGGTTAAGAGAAGGATCGCTAAACAAATTAACGAGCATGTTTATAGCTACTCTTCACAACGGGTAAATGATAAAAATCGTACAAATGATTAACATATCTCTCTTCAACAATGGTGTATTTATATCCTTATGGCATGTGCACTTACATTTCTATCAAATCATGCATCCGAAAGCCTCGTACTCGATCAGTTCCATCAAGCTCCTCCAACGTTATTTCGTTACGAAGTTTATATTTTCTGTTGAACTCAGCAATGACATCAACATACGTTGAATTTTTTGATAGTAATAATCTGACTCGCGCATCTTCAAATAGCGGGTACGTTAGTCCCCTGATATCTCTTAGTTGGTCCATAGTTAAGTCTAAAAATAGTAAAATAATGCATTTTTAGAATGGTGCATGAATTTACGATTTAGATCGATTAAATACAAAATCTTTGCATGTGGATAATTATCAGTATTTCTTGGAGAAAAGGAAATGAGATATAAATCAACGCAATACAGAAGAATTAACCTGGTTTTTCTGAAAAAATTGTTGTTGTTGAAAAAAAGAAACTAAAAACTTTCTTTTTAATTAAAAAAGCCAAAACAAACTTTCTTTTAAAAAGCAAACCAGTTGCTCTGACAAATGTTTTTGTAAACAACGAAAACTAATTTTATGTATGTATATATATATTAAATGTTTTTGTAAACAATGAAAACTAATTTTATGTATGTATATACTGCGCGTGTCCCCAAAAAAACTATACCCTCTTTGATTTCATGTAACGTAAAACCTATAAAAGCTATTTCACTAAAATAAAAACCATTGTATTCACAAATGATTAACTTAGATTTTAATATATAACATTTAATTTTCCGTGCGATATTGACAGAAATACAAGGTGTTAGAAGTTGCGAGGAGTTTTTGAAATTGGCGAAAAAACAACAAAAATCCCCGCATCAAACTAAATTGAAAGCAGTTGTCACTTTACATGCAATATTTTTAACTTCAGTGATTTTATCTTTAATTTTGGATTATTCCCTTGCAAATTTACTTTAAAAATAAAAATTACACTTAAAGATTGATTCTTAGGTATAAAACAAAGTAAGAATTCACATTAAACGAAAGTTCCATATGACGTCCCTTGGGAATCAAATTGGCAATGAAATAAACATTGCATGTCGATTAGATTTTTATTCCTAAAGTTAACAAAAGACCAAAGAGTTTGGATTTGTATCGACACGCTTTTCCTGATGAGTAAACTCATATTAGTCCATTCTTTTGTACATAATTTCATAAAGGCATTCCTTTAGCTAGAATAAAAATAATCAAAAACTAAATTGGAATTTGATATGCTGTTTTATGCTAATTTTTAACTTTTCAGAAACTTTGAAACGTCAATAGCTGTGTCAATATCGCACGAAAATGTAAATGTTATATATCAAAATCTAAGTTAATCCTTTGTGAATACAATGCTTTTTATTTTAGTGAAATAACTGTAATAGGTTTTACGGTACATGAAATCAAACAGGGTATAGTTTTTTTTGGGACACCCGCGGTATATATATATATATATATATATATATATATATATATATATATATATATATATATATATATATATATATATATATATATAGCTTAAGTTTTTGGTTTTGGGTCATAAAATTTTGCTAATGACCTTGTTTACTCGAAACCGGTTTTTGTAACGACACTTGCCGAAAATTTTGCTTCTTTTATTGAGTAAATTATCTTTGTTTATGTCGTTCAAAATGCAAAATTTTTCTTCCAAACATAAATTGCAGCGTTTTGATCCCCCTGTGTACGAATAACGTGTTTTAAAATTGACCATTTGATGGTATAATCCTGATTGTTTTCTTTTAATTTCCAAATATGTTTCGAAAGTTTTGTTTTGTTTGAGTCTTTTTTATGACGAAAAGATGAACTGTGGTTAGCGTAACGTTCCTTAAATGCAGTCGCTGTCATACCAATGTTATGTTTAGTGTCGTTCGTGTTGTTCGTTGTGACTGTGGCTTTGTAAATAATGTTGTTGGTCATACATTGTTTCGGTAGTGGGCAAGTGTTTTTGTTGTCGCAGTTACAGTTGTCAGTTTCTGTATTCTGTGATTGACTGTTCCTAATTATATGTGCGTTGTGTTTGGTGATTATAGACTTAACGTTATTCATGCAACTGTAGCTTACTTTTAAAGTGTTTCAGTCTGTTGAAAATCTAGCAACGTTATTTAAGCTATATATATATAGCTTAAATATATATATATATATATGTAGCGATGAAATAAAATTTTAAGATTGAAATTTGTTGTTTATGTCTTTTTATATATATATATATATATATATACGGTACCGTTTCGGCCTTTTGGGCCCGATCAGTGTAGTGCTGCAGATGAGCAGGATGAAAGTAACTAGTATTAATAGTTACCTTTATGTCTCACGAATGTGGGACATCAAACCATTGCCAGAGTGCTCAAACTGCAAGCAGTGAGCGTGCGCACAATGCGTAAGCAGCAATGGCTCATCCTGTAGAGTGCTCAATACGACCTAAAGGCCATAGAGCAATATCTAACTACAGACGGTACCGTTTCGGCCTTTTGGGCCTCATCAGTGTAGTGCTGATGAGCAGGATGAAAGTAACTAGTATTAATAGTTACCTTTGATGTCTCACGAATGTGGGACATCAAACCATTGCCAGAGTGCTCAAACTGCAAGCAGTGAGCATGCGCATATATATATATATATATATATATATATATATATATATATATATATATATATATATATATATATATATATATATATATATATATATATATATATATATATATATATATATACATACTCTTTGTGTTTCGTAAACCAAAAACTTATATATATATATATATATAAGATGAAAATGTTCTCGAGTGTGTATTATATAATTTCCATACCCAGCGCAAGCAGAAAGATAAAGTCTGCCGCGGCTGGGTCTTGAACCCGCGACCTTCGAATTACTAGATCGACGCTCTACCAACTGAGCTACACGGTCAGACGGATTTAAGACTGGAAATTATGAAATATATACTGAATGTCATAAACATACTCGTTTATATTAATTCAGCATCGAACAATACCAGTTCTGCAAGTGTTATGTTAGTTGTGTTATTGTACTTGTACACTCTGTAATATGTTAAGATGAAAATGTTCTAGAGTGTGTATTATATAATTTCCATACCCGGCGCAAGCAGGAAGATGTTGTCTGCCGCGCCTGGGTCTTGAACCCGCGACCTTCGAATTACTAGATCGATATTATATATATTTCATAATTTCCAGTCTTAAAGCCGTCTGACCGTGTAGCTCAGTTGGTAGAGCGTCGATCCAGTAATATATCGATCTAGTAATTCGAAGGTCGCGGGTTCAAGACCCAGCCGCGGCAGACAACATCTTTCTGCTTGCGCTGGGTATGGAAATTATATATATATATATATATATATATATATATATATATATATATATATATATATATATATATATATATGTATATTAAAAACAATGTTAACCAAAATATAGCTTTGAGATCTATTACCAACAACTACCGTCAACAACTGACAACAAGCAGACAATTACGTACCGACAACAAGCTGACAAATACAGTGGCAACAAGCAAATACTGTACATATACTATCATTGTATTCTTATACTTATTTGTATCGTTACGGAGTTATTAAAATTGTTTACTTCCAGTCTATGACTATGGGCCTGTTCATATGATCCCGCTTACCGGGACGTCTCGCTTACCGAGACGAATATTTCCGTGCGTTCATATGGAGTATTTCGTCCCGCTTGCCGAGATGAAATTACATTGTAGTTCTATAATTAGCGTATGCAAAACTTCTACATTTCAGTCAAGCAATACAAATACTTAGCGATTTTAGTGTTTTTCTTCGTTTATTTACAAGAAAAAGTATTGCTTCAGGTGCATATTTAATACTTGTTTACAAAACAAACATAAAACCAAGTAAAAAGTGTTAAATTAAACCGGCAACTGTTTGACTTCATCCCGGTAAGCGGGCTGGCGTGTTCATATGAAAAAATTTTCATCCCGCCTACCTATGATCTCGGCAAATTCAAACGAGATCTCGGCAAGCGGGCCAGCTCGCTTTCTCATATGAACACATTTTATAGGAAAATAGATAGGCGGCGAGATCATCGGTAAGCGAGACGTCCCGGTAAGCGGGATCATATGAACAGGCCCTTAGGCCGAAATGTCGCACGCAATACAAAAGTATACAAAATTTGCGAATTTTGCAAGGCTATATTTCACGCATTTTATAACATTTCGCAACCAAACTTTGCAATTTTACTCATATTAGTATGCTCTTTCTAGCTGTGGTAATTTATTTGCATCTCCTTGCCTAGTTTTAAAATTAGTCTATAATGGGAATTGTCTATTCGATCGTATACCAAAATCCAGTATACCAAAATAAATCCCGTACTGATACTCATGAGCACGCTCGTATATTTCTATTATTTCAATTAAGGTTCACGAGCAACGTCGAGCAAAACAGAAAAGTCGAACACGAGCGCGAAAAATGCTAGCCTGCGAAAACAGCCTCTACTTTGCTGCTCCTATTAATATAACGTCGCACCTCTCTCCTCCGCAGAGGCTTTAGTTTTCTTAGGATTTAGTATTACGATGAGATACATTTCACTACACTTTACATGGCGGATCTTGAAACACGAGCGTAGCCGCTGGGCGAAGGAGCGCAGGCGGCAAAGGGAAGGCGAAGGAAGGCGCGAAGCCTCTGCACGATTT